GTTTCCCCCCCCCCCCCCCCCTGTGCCCCCCTTCCACCCCAACCCCCGCGTTTGCGTGTCTATGGCATCGAACGTTTCGCTTTACGATACTGAAGGTGGCCGAGTCGGAGCACCCCCCCCTCAGCCTGGGCTACCTGTACCTCTTCAAGAGAGACGAGTAGTCTAGGTATTCAGAGGGAGGGTTGGTTAATACGTTGTTACAACACCAGGCGGGGCCGTCGTCTAGCAGGACAGCCCGTCGTAATGCTTGTAACACTGGTTGCTGTGGTAGAGAAAAGGCCCGACTGTTGCTTCATTTCTCTATCCACAGCGGTGACTGCTGACCAGAATGTCGTGCGTTGAAGAACAGAAGAAGCGGGTGGAGTTTGTGTTTGATCTTGGGCTTAGCCTGGCCTAGGGCAATGATTAAGATAATCTTACGCCAATACCCGGCGGGACTTTTTCGTATGCTTCAGATGTGTGTGGTGTTCGAGAAAGCCACGGGTGACAACCGTATCCCCCTTTCTTTGTGCGTTGCCCTTCGGTGTCGCAATAGTCAACGACGTCCGCTAGACGGGTACCCGGTACTGATGCTTGCGAAGCAGTACCTCAAGCCGTACACGCGGAAGGCGGCCTTGAGATCTCCGGGTTGGTTTCACAGTAGAATGTCTTGGCTCTACGCGCAAATGGGACAGTTTTTTCAAGGGCCGTCTGGTCTGACTGATGTGACTCGTATTCTGTTGACAGCATGGCGCACGGGACATACCAATGCAGCAATGAACCAAGCGCTGATTGTCCAGTTTGTAGTGGTGCTTCTTGCCGAACGCCAGGTTCACGGTGGAGCCGGTAACGTCAACACTGCAACCGACAGATATCGATCGACCAGCGTTCTCTATTTAAGTCATGGCAGCAGAAAGCTTTTCGTTTCAGCCAAATCCTGTCATCGAGCCGAAAACTGGTCAACGGGCTATTATTCACAGCAGGGATGGTGATTGCTGCTGCTGCTAAGCTGGTTCTATGGACTGTGTGGCAGAACCGAGGGCGCACGCAGCGATCTCCGGGTTCGGTTCATAGATATCCATTTTACGTCCCATCAAGCTTTGCCATTCGCATCAGGGAAGACTGATCGCTGCGTGGAACAATAAACCACCGGTAACGACCAACGTGCATGTCTTAGTCTCATGTTTCAACAAGAGAGAGTGACGCCGTCGGATATATATTTTAAGAGTTTCGTGGTTACCGTACATCCAAGGTGTTGAATAGGGCAGCCGCATTCGAGACACTGAAAAAACGCACAGCAGACGTTCTCTACCAAAGTAACATCGAAGGGCACCAATCAGGAAGCAACACCGTTTTAAAAAGGGCGAAAGCCCCGAGAGCGAGAGCTGCCAAAACACTGAATCGCTCGCGGCCAAACACCACTTGCATAACCCCGAAACTTGCAACACGCCAGAGCATCTGCAAAACACCGACCGGGAAAATAACGAGAGACGTCACAATGGACTGGCAGGCGTTTCTGCCTCATCTCCCCTCACACACATGCCGGTGCTCCATTTTGATCGAGTCAAGAGTCAAGCCAACGAAGGCATGCAACGCGGGGCAGCGTTCACGCCATGTCCGACACACGGGACAACCGATAAAGGTGAATGCCCGCACGAGCGGGGGGGTTGGGTGGGTGGGTAACGCATTGACATGCCAAACACGCCACCCTTAAACGCAGTGCAAAACCTTGGGGTTGCAATTGTCCCACCAGTGAGAGACCAACAACGCACAACCAACTTTGGCGTCTAACAACTTTTTTCTTTGTGTGAAGGTCGAGCTTCCTCTAAATCACTTTCTCCGGACGCAAAATCAAACGCCGCTAACTACGGCAGAAGCACCACACAAAAACGAGGCAAGGCAAAAGACCAGGAGGTTCTTCAAAAAAGCAAATCTAAAAAAACACCCACGAACGATCGTGCGTGTCTCTGCCCCACACCAGGCCTTCGAAACGTTTGCACGTCTGTGTGCGCTGACAGCAAAGCAAGGAAATCATCATCCAATCCATCCCCATGCCTCTACACATGCATTCTTACCCTCGCAAACTACTCAAAACAAGTTTGAGAGCTGGGAGGGATCCAACATGGCTGGCTATACCTGCTGCTGCATGTGTTACATCCCTTCAAATCGACGACACCGCAACCTAAAGAGACGGAGGGAACAAATAAAATAACTTCATCATCGTATCTCGTCGTCGAGCAAGCAAAAAACTTAAGCCAAGCCGGCGAGGGCGTCGACCTTCTCCAAGACACCCACGCCCGTGATGTGCTCCTGCACGATCATGCCAAGGATGGCGAACATGGCCAGGCGGCCGTTCTTAAGCTCCCTCAGCTGCACCCGCTCCCACGACTCGGGGTTCGAGGGCTTGAGCCCGAGGGGGTCGAAGCCCAGGTCGCCGCCCGCTTCGTTCTCCTCCTGCTTCCTGTTGCCGTACACCTCAACGGCGAAGATGGCCAGGAAGATCTGGACGAAGGCCAACGGGCGCTGCTCGTACACCTGGCGGAATATCATCAACCACGACGGGGGGTAGGGGGAGGTCGTTACTTACGGCAAACAAGCTGTGCACGCCCTTGGAATACAAGGGAGAATATTTCTACACGCTACAATGCGAAGTTTTGGATTTTTGAACACATCGCGTTTGCGAACAAGCGGGCGGCTGCACAACTTTTCACATTTAGAATGGATTGGCTCTGTACACCCTGTGTATTACGAGACTTTCTCAACGGATCGTGCTGAATGTGCAGCTACACGACCGGGGGCATGGGTGGCTGCCGGAGTTGAGGTTTTCGAGGTACAACGATTTGTTTACAGGCAAGATCATGGGATACGAGAGCAAGTGGAAGAGCATTGTTCCGGGCACGTGTGAAATGATTTTCTTGAGATCGTCTGGTACCCGCCCAAGAACATCAAAACCGATATTTGATAGTTGCGTTTTGTGGCAAGTTTAACTTCACAGTTGAGGCCCACCCTATGCAAAAAAATAACATGGGGTACTTTACTTGGTTCCAGGAAACATAGACAGCAGGGTGCCGGTTGTGGCATATGGTCGCTAGGTTTTCAAACGATATGGACAGCAACAGTGGCGCACAACTTAAAACCATATCCAACAGGTAAAATGCATTGCCTCTGTGCACATGTGGTATGCTGCTGAGCGGACCGAGGAGCAGCTTTTGCGGTCGGCGACCTCGGTAGTAGAAACGGAAGCCGACGCATCGCCTATTAGTAACGGCTCTGCCAGTAAAGTTTGTCGATACGCAATCCTGGGGCAGTGCACGTCCCTTGGCAGCTCGAAATAACCTCACCGCGGCAAGCTTTGAAAAAAAGCGTTCAAGATCCAAGGGCGAGCCGGGTGAATCTTGGATCTTGAAACGCTTTTTCCCGAGTTTTCTACGGTGCAGTTTCGAGCTACTGGTTGAAACCGACGCACCACTTTCGCTCGCTGCGAAAGAGCGCGATCATCGCGAACCGCGTTTGACGTGAAAGGGCTACCCCCGCTGTTGTTCGGTGCACGCATCTGCTCGACACATTCGCCAGCTGTTTGACGATCGCGTCAAAAAATCAATCAAGATCAAGTTGATCGCGCCGCCATCATGAAACAACTCGCTCATGTGTCGAGGAGATGCGTGGATCAAACAACAGCGGGAGTAGTTTCTTGCCGTCGAACGGCCCTCCCGTACAGTGCGCTAGCCCCACGCTTTGGGGCATACAGCAGTGTGCCAACAGCCAAACGGGATGGCCGACTTGCGTACAACAAACATAATTAAGTATGTTATTTCGCCCACTACAACAACGAGGAAACACACGAACTACCCTTCAGCCTTGGGGAAAAAGAAGGCGGCAACGAGTAGTAGGATGAAGGTCATGCTGTTTTCTGAGGCAGATATGTCCACCACACTACAATCGAGGATCACTTGCAGAGTGAACACTAATTTGATCACGATTACCTCGCTTGTAAGGTCTCTGCATAAAAGACGCTGCCGGCCGGTTGTGTAACACGCTCAGCACGTATATACGCATGTTTAAAAGAGCACGCGGTATCGTGCAATATGTTTGTCCATCATGTTTCGTGCCTCATCCGATAGGCCCGAACCTGCCCACGCAAACAATATATCTGGACTGGGCAAAGTTATGGAGTTCGTGGAAATCAAGTATCATCGCTCCAGCGAGGATTCACGTGGGATTCCAATGAGATGATTGCATATGTTCTACAGGAAATATGGGCGCGGTCGTCCCGGATGCTAAAATATGGACAATACCGCGAAACACTGCCGGTACGGAGCGGAACCAGCAGGCAGGACATTTATCAACTCCGTGCTGTCCGAAAAATCTCGCCGCGTTGACGGCCGGGACTATTACGCCTCACGTGGCGGCACTGCAAACCGCCCACGACGACATCAACCACTAGCCAGGCAGGAGACCAACTTTACCCGTTTGGGGTGTGTGACAAAAAAGAGGTCATGTGTGCCGTCTGTATGGAACAACGGGTGGTATTCTTGAGTCTTGCAACGAACGGAGGCCATTTATCGCCTGCGGCCGACGAATCATGTATTTACCATGAAAGACGCGCCGGTTCTCTACAGCACGGACATGACACGCTAGCAGCGAACGAATGAAACACCTACATTCACCAAGGCGAGCCTCCGGAGTGGGCTCATCAAAAGCACACGTTGTATACAGTAGCAGTGTCATCAAGGTGCGATGCACCATGAAAGAAAAGAAAAGCATGTGTTGGATGTGGGGTGCGAATCAGTTGCCAGGTGCCATCACCGACGTTTCCCAAACTCTAATGATCCCAACAACTTTTTCTTCGATAGAGATGGGTTCGTTGGGGTCATAATGATGAAACAAGAAAAGCTTATAACGCGCACCTGCTGCATCGCTCCCCATGCGGACCCGCTCTTGTCGAAGATTCCCGAGGGGTCGTTCCAGTGTGTGAAGTGCTGGGTGATCTGCCCGAATGCGGCGAGCATGCAGATGCGTCCGTGCTTGAGCTCCGCGGCGCGGTACCACTGCATCTGCTCCGGGGGGCAGTTCTTGCCGAAGCCCAGGGGGTCGAAGGGGCCGCCGGTCTCGATGTCGGCGCCCACGAGGCCATCCACGGCGTTGGTGGACACCGCCCGCGCGGGGGGGGCCTGCGCCGCCTTCTTCCTTCCACCAAACCCACCAATCATTTGGAGGCTATGGTGGTGGGCAGCGGGGGGGGGGGGGGGGGGGGGGGATTAAAACCAAATTTGTTCCCAAAACCTTGGTTTTGGGGGGGGGGGCCAAATTCCCCCCCCCCAAGGTTTTTTTTTTTCCCCCCCCGGGGGGAAAGGGGCACCCAAAAAAAGGGGCCCAAACGGGGCCAAAAAA